CCTGGTACTTAGGTGTGAGTACTGCCTTCTCTGTTGTTACCATGAATAGCTCTAACTCATGCTGCAGATGTACTCTTATGCTTACTGTTTATGCTGCCGAAGTTGTGATGAGTATATGACTATGAGAGGGAGGTGTAGCATACCAACATGTACCTAACATAATATATGTTTAAATATATGTTTTCCCTCATTAACATCTATGGTGCGATTGTGTGCGCCGCGCCCCCAAAAGTGGTAACAATCTACTCGCACCTACAAACAAGCTACTGCCATACTGCAGTGAACTACTGAGCAAAGGCGGGTAGCTACTGGTGCCACGGAGGCGCAGCGAGAGCCACAGAGGGCTGCCGAATCGGGTACCATTCTACCAGTCTACCAGAACCTTGCAGCACCCGAAGCGCTGTGTGGCGCTGGCGTTTTTCCCTGATGCTGGGAGCTGCCCGGGGGCCAGGAGGCGGTAAATGGCTGCACAGATCCGAGACAGAGGAGCGTTCTGTCTGTCAAAGGTGGCGTTACCAGGACCAGGGGAACTCCAGATCCGACGTTCCCTGAGGCTAGAGCCGAGACAGAATGGTACACGTATCGGCGGTATGGCTAGATGGCTGTTGAATAGCCAGTCGCAATGGGGAGCAGTCAAATCGAGAATTAGAAGGCTAATAGTGTTGTAGGCCTCATGAATGCCTAGGGGTGCAGAGACAGCGACGAGATCGCTGATTTGAGTGGAAGGCGCTATGCTAGCGATGGTTGAAATTTAACAAGAAGTTTCAAAGGAGGACATTGCCTCTGCATCAGGGAAAAACGCCAGCGCCACACAGCGCTTCGGGTGCTGCAAGGTTCTGGTAGACTGGTAGAATGGTACCCGATTCGGCAGCCCTCTGTGGCTCTCGCTGCGCCTCCGTGGCACCAGTAGCTACCCGCCTTTGCTCAGTAGTTCACTGCAGTATGGCAGTAGCTTGTTTGTAGGTGCGAGTAGATTGTTACCACTTTTGGGGGCGCGGCGCACACAATCGCACCATAGATGTTAATGAGGGAAAACATATATTTAAACATATATTATGTTAGGTACATGTTGGTATGCTACACCTCCCTCTCATAGTCATATACTCATCACAACTTCGGCAGCATAAACAGTAAGCATAAGAGTACATCTGCAGCATGAGTTAGAGCTATTCATGGTAACAACAGAGAAGGCAGTACTCACACCTAAGTACCAGGCTCTTCAGCGGTGGTCATCCTACTCAGCCTGGGAAGCGGCATTGGACTTGATAGTTATGAGGGACATGGTGGAGAGATCAGCATAGCCGGATTTCTATGAGCTAGTGCAAAATTAGCTCAGTAATAGCCAAGTCGTGCAGAGAGATACTTACCTTGTCTGCCACCTGTATACCCTGCTGTCACGTCCACCTGTATCCGAGTCTAGCATGTGCAACATGCTA